TTTCGTGACTCAAAACAGAGTCTTGTAACTATCGTTAAGGAGATAAAGTCGTCTACCCTATTAGCCATTAAACGCACAGACGAATAGAATTGGCCATTTGTCGATGAGATTACTGTGATGGATTGTTTGCACTCCTCACAGCAATCTATTTCTCAACTTCAGGATCTACTCAAAAGGAAAAACGACTACTTGCATAGTCTCGCCGAAATGCTACACTGAAAAATTCGAAATTCTTACGGAGTAAAGAAAAAAGTTAGTATGAATCCAATAAAAATCTATAGAGACATGACTAGCGACCCGCCCCGGCTTCGCATGGGTGCAATGTATTATACATATAAACCTTCGTCTTAAATCACTCTATCTAATAAAGTAAACCGCATAAAGATCCGTTGCCCAGCTTTAAAGATCTAAGCATATATATAGACAGACAGACAGCGGGACGACGTTGTTTTATACTATGTAGTGATTACTTAAACTCATATTTATCTGTTTTCTGTGGTAGGGCCACGCAACAATCTGTTGCACGAATGGGCAGGTTCGTCCGGGTAAGTACCACGACCTCACAGAAGACCGGCGTTAAGTGGAAGTGTTATACTTCTGGGTTTAGTCTGGTCAGAGTTAGCCAGGGCCCACTTTATAATAAGGTGGTAACGCATCTGCAACCCTACGAGTGTTGCAAATGTCCATGGGCTGCGGTTGTCACTTAATTTTATCTCTTTCGTAGTACTAAACAAATTAAATAGAATGCCGTGGTTGCCAAGTGGCTATATATTGACTCTCAAATTATGTTCGTGGGTTCGCAGTGGCTTGTACAATAGTTACTGTCTCTTTCCCCGTCCTCTAACTCTCTTCTCCCTTATTTACGGTCACTTGGTACGATCCGATTTAAAGAAATAATAATACAGCACCAGCTACCGTGCTAGATCAAAAATTGTCACAACTCTTCTTCGCAACAAGAATGTAAGAATGTAGAAATGAGCATGTCACGAATAAGATCATTTTGCAAACACTTTTCAGCAGGAGCGTACAGCTTAAATGTACAGATCTATATGACTAAATAAAAGACACGGTACCTTTTTATGTCAGTTCTTTAGCTCGATAAGCGAAATATGAAGTGTCATCAAGGATACCAGGTAAATGTCATTTATTGGGGTTTTGGGTGTTTATGCCAGAAATAACGTCAACTGATCAAATCGACGAAACGACGCAAAATATATAGAGGACCGTTAAAAATTAACGATAAACAAACAAACATGATTGACGCGAATATAAATGATGTAGATGAGAGAACTCAGTTTCGCAAAATTGCACAGTAGTCTAGTCAGGGTTGGCGGTGATGCGACATAATTAATTGGCACTGCTAGACAAATGTGACAGGTTCCGAATACAACATATATAGAAAAATAAGTAAAGTAATAAATGAAGTAAAGTAACTCTGCTTCTCAATACATTTATTGTAATGTTTTGTATATACGTCATAACCTTAATTATTACCTAACGAATAGTGACAGACATAAAATAAACACTAGAAATAAGGACAAACTTACTACGCCATTGTTTCGTCTACAAAAAGTAAATAAGTCGTTCATGGGGCAAAGTGTGCGCATGTATAATAAAATCCCACAGTCGATATTAAGTCTGCCGCTTGACCAATTTAAATGTAAAATTAAAAATCAACTAATGATTAAAGCATATTATACCATTTCGGAATATCTCGACGATGCCAATGTGTGGAGTTAATACTGTTGATACTCACGTAGGCTAGAATAAGACTATTATACCTGTATATTATATTGTACGATGATATTTTTGAAAAAGAGCAACTGTTGAGTTTCTTGCCGGTCTCTTCTCAACAGAAACCGCTTTCCGAACCGGTGGTACCATTACGAACCTATACACATAATCTTTGATGTAAAATTTGACGATTCATAAGAGCGCGCAAGCGTCTATTTGAATAAATATATTTTTGATTTGATTTTGATTAACAGCCTATGAATGTCACACTGCCGTGCAAAGGCCTCCTATGTACCAGAGGGTATCTGGGCATAGTCCACCACGCGACACCACCGCGGGCGCGGATCGGCGGCCTTCCTCGAAATATTTTTTCGAAAATATGCAGGTTTCACGATTTTTCCCTTCACCGCTAAACACGATAAGTCAGCACTTTAAATTAACAATTGCATTGGTACCCGCACCGGGGATCGAACTCAGGTAGCTCGAGTATATTGAATTAAACGAGAGGGCCCGGATACTAAGGTATCACGGCTTAGAGTTAGACTGACAATAAACTATATAACGGTTACGTAATGTGATTACAGCGTAATTTTTAATCATAATTTTCCCAGGCGAATAATAACCAACAGACTTAGACTTAAATAGTAATAAGAGCAGTCTCTCATCACCTAAAATTTGATCGATAAATAATTTTATTAAAAATAACCCGCATTTTTATCGACAAATTGCCTAAGAGATAACAGGCAACCCTAGGCTTAGCAACGCCATTTTTAAATATGGACGCGACGCACACAAAAGATCGTTCTTCCGCGCTTGTACCGCAGATTAGGACTTGAAAAAAATATTTTCGTTTATTTAATTAGAGATATGACTATTTTAATACGTTTAAATAAAGAATAAAATTATTTTTCCACTAAATCCGAACAGATAGTCTTTTGAGATAACCGACGAACCTAGGCTTAGCAACAGGCGTTTTAAAGCGTGGACACAGCCAATTAAAAAAAAAAGAGCGCACTCTCGTTACATATATCGCCGGATTAGAAGTTGATAAGTTGATCGGCCAAGGCCAATAACAAACAACACTATCTGGTGCATCAAAATGCATACTTACGTACGCGCTGATAGAGATTTTTATAGAATCAGATTAGATAGCGGCGTGAAATTCCGCTTTCTACTGTCTATGGTCGATTGCGGCGTTATAGTGTCAAATATACGGGAGCTACTGTGGTTATTCCACGCAACAGTGTCCGCTGGTGCACGGATGGGCAGGTCCGTCCGGGTTAGTACCACGACCTCACAGGAGACGGGCGTAAAGTGGAAGTGTAACACTTCTGCATTTCGTCTGGTGAGTGAGGTAGCCGGGGCGCAAATTATTAAAAGGTGCCAACACCGGTGTTGTAAATGTCCGCGGGTGGCGGTTATCACTTCGGATTCAAAACAGTGCAGGGTTCGACGGATCGTAATCAGATGCTGTGAATAGTTCGATTGTATCTTCAACGTTTTGCATATAATTCAATATCACACTATACGAGCTGAAGCACTCCGGGTTGACAGGACCGCTCGAGACGATAAAATTAACACGTGTACAGGTGGTTATAACACATACGAAACTAACGTGTACCTTCAATATAATAAGACGGGAGATTGTTTTACGAATATCCCTTTCGTTTTTAGGGTTCCCTACCAAAAGGGTAAAACGGGACCCTGTTAATAACCCTCCGCTGTCTGATTAACACAGAATTATATTCACGATTTGACGGCCAAATTTGGAGCAGCGGTTGGAAAAACCGTCTTTTCGCCAAAGATTCGCTTAGATTCGATCTTTATTGCTAGAAAAATGTTGTTTGTTCAACAACGTTTGTAATACGTATTTATATAAAATAGAAAAGTATACACTTAGTATCGATACTAATTTTCAGATCGTATTTTTACACAAACATAACTAGTCTCAAACTAGCTTAACTTGTTACAGTTATGATCTGTAATATGAAATCAAAATTTGTATGTTAAAAGGTAAGTAATAAATCTCACACGCCATTAATAATAAACCAGATCTAGTGCTGTGACTTAAAAAAACACTTATAAATGCTTACAGCAGAACTGTACTGTGCAAACGTATCTCTACTAAACATAAATCTAAAAATAGCCTTCAAAAGTGCAAAACAAATGAATGTTAAGACAGGGTTTTATGTAGTCACTAAAAAAAATTTTGATGCTAACACTATGATACTAACAGTTCATGTCCACAAACATTCAAACTACATTATAGTATAGTATATGGACATCACTTTCATTGTTTTTTCAAATATTAAAGATGGAAAAATTTTATCAAACGAGATTAAAAAATACCAATAATTCATTTTAAAAATAGCACGTACCACTGGATGAGAAAGTTACCCGTTTTAAATTTCTCTTGATATTGTTTTCTTAAATTTCCCCAAAACAAAGAATCCGAACTTTCTAAGCACTTTTCCGATTCGAATTTTAAATAATGTAAACAAATCGTAAAAAACCATCATTATCCGTTCCAATTTCAAAAATGACAAACGCTCTATGGTTGTAGAAGAAAAAAACAAAAGGAACTGGCATCGCGTAGTTGCGTGTCGATGAAAAAAAAATCCGTTAGGCATAGGAGCGCTAGGCGGCTAAGACGCGGTTGGCGGCGCGATCGATGAGCGTTGGGGCAGGTCGGGCACGGCGCGCCGCCCGCTTCACGCACGTGGCCCACGAGTAATATATAGGGCTCACGAATTATCGTCAATTAGAAAAAAGAACAAAATCCCATACGACCAATTTCATACGATATACCTGACACTATTATTCCTCTATTGCCCGCTAAAGGGTAACTATAAACTTAGTAATAAAATCCACGGACAACAGGTGAGGTTTTATGCCGCATAAATTGGAATCGGCGATAATGCGTCTTATAAACTTTGAGGTCGTTTCTAATATTGTAATATACTCATTAGGATGGTGGTGTTGCAATATACAAAACATATAAACACTAGCAGTAACCTGTTTCAAACGGTAAATTAATAATACAGCGCACTCTAAACTAATATAATAAACGCGCTGTTTGCGAACCATCTTGATAAGAATTTAACAGTGGTGTCCAGTGTGTGCTGATAAAATGTTAGGATAGGTCAAGGCGAGGCGAAATTTTCGCACGCAAAACATATAGAGCTCTCGGCGGAGGCCGGAAACGGGCCATATAGAGCATCGCCGATCTATCTCGAAATGTACGCACCACTTCCTCCATCCAGTCCATGCCGGTCTCGTTGCGCTGTCTGGTTACTGGGTTAGATTCGCGGTACGGGCTCACCGTCACGAGACTACTGCGCGTCGCGACGTCCGACACACGAGTGCAGCGTCGTGTCGTGTGTTGCACCGAAAATTCCCTCTCCCCCCCCCCCCCCCCCCCCCTCTTCACCGCACCGCGCACCCTTCGCCGCGTAGTCGCGGGCCCGCCTCGCGAAATTTTCGAACGGGGCCGTTCCGCGCAGCGCCATCTATGGGCGGACGGCGGCCCGCACTCCGTAGCGCGTGGCCTTGAACTTGACAGCACATCGCGACCGACCCAGTTTCGCGCGGCGGCGCGACGCAACCGCGCCCCCCCGCCGCCCCGCCGTCCCGCCCCCGCCCCCCCAGTCAACTGTCACGGCCGCGCCGGCTGAATGGGGGAGCGCGCCGCTCGCACTAAGGGCCATATTCGCCGACGCGGCCCTCATCTCCGTTGCGCAAGGTTACATAACAGATGCACCAGTTGCATTTACTACGCGATGCGACGCGACGCGCCGCGCGCCCGCACATGCACTTTGCGATGGCGCCACGCCGCGACGCGGCTCGTGCCCGGTTTAAGGCTAAGGCCGCGCTTCGCGAGGTGACGCGAGCTCTGTTCGCGCGGATAAACGTTCTATGCGCGGAAAAAAAAAGCGCTGCGTGCGAATGACACGCTCTATGCGGTTTTAAGCAAAACAGAACAGACAGAAAGAAAGAAACATTCGGGATTCGAAAAGGGACAACATGATTCAAATCCCTTTCTTACGTTGACGACGGAAGTCCTTTAGTTGTGGATTCACCCACCCTTGGACGTATGAGAAAGCTCCGGGAAGTTCCTTCACTTTTCTGGCATTAAAGAATAAGTTGATCATTCAATACATCGTACAGTCGATGTAACCATTGTAGAATTTTGAAAACGCAATGCGGTGAGACACAAAACTTCATACTAAAAAAGTAATTTTTATATCAGAGACGGTGGCAAAGAAGCAAGAGGGTCGCCTGATGGCAAGAGATCAAGCTTGCAACTGGATGGCCAACGATTAAGAATACTTCCTGTCACTTCCAACAGTCGAAAGACAAATCATAGACACTTCTACTGTACAGGTCTTCCGCGATTGGGAGACCTGTTGGAAAACTTGAACGGAACGTTACCGTTCATGTCTTACGCGATTTACCGTTTAGACTGTTACAGCGAGTTCGCGAATGAATGTTATCTCTGTGAACGCACAAACGTGAACTGGCAAACGTAACGAGTGCTTTGTTTCACGACTAGCTTATATCGTTATTCTAATATCAACGTCTCTTTCCTACGCATATTGTTGTCTCTGTTGTTACTTAGTCTATATTATATTTTCCGGGATCGGGAGGATTCTCACTTATCACAAGTAGAGAGTGCATACACTTATCAGAAGTTTAGCGAAAACTCGTTTCTCAAGACAACTAATTCGTTTACCTGAAAAACTTTGTCTGCATATTATCCTTTGTCTCTCCGTCAAGCGTGTTACTAACGAGAAATGGAACAGCAAGCTTATATACAAAGATAAAAGATTTTGTTTTACTAATTGCATGGAATAAGCTTAGAAAACGCCGATAATGATAGTAATGTATACAAGTAAAGACTGCTGACCAAAGATTTTAGTCATTGTAATACAAGAAACAACCCAGAACAGAGGGTAGAGACGTCGTTTCGTGCCGGAAGCCAAGATGAGTAGTAGAGAGATGAGAGAGATGAGAAGACAACATTATAATATATGACAAAACAAAACCGCAATTACCACAACGCCTTCAGTTCCGAGTGTCTGCTCAGCAAATGTGGGATACCCCGGCGAGTTCATCTATAGCATATTGTTGAAATGGGCCCAGAAGATACCTTTGACCTGACTGTCACCTGTCACCTGGTGAGGTCATCTATTCACTGTCACTAGCACTGTCAGCCTAAGAACAAATTTACCAATAAACTTAAACCTTAACTACGTTAAACTTTATATGTTGAACGTTTATGAAGGCTCTTAAATAATGTAAAGGGTTCGATGGATGACATCGTAGCACCTAATAAATGCGAAGGGTTGACGAACATAAATCACAGTATCCTATAGTGACCAATCTAGGCGCTGGGTAGAGCCAAATATCTAAAAATCTGCTAAAAATCTGCCAAATACATCAAGAAAGATGCAAGCTTGGCATACCTGCTAAGGAAGCAATCTCTGGCAATATTGACCGACAGAAGCAAGAATGCCCTGATTAGGCCCCGAAGTGTAATCGAACATAGGAAAACAAGCAAATAGAGCAAGTTTCATGGAAACAAGTCCAATTGGTGTGGAGTGACGACCCGATTGGCGTGGGAAGTGCAACTACCTGTAACAATATTGTGTGATGAACATAGTGTTTTTCTAGTGTCTGGGTGTTTATATATTGTACATATAATATGTATTTATTTACAAAAGAAAAGTATGTTCTAGTATATCTATCAGTTTTCTATTATCCGTAGTTCGGGACTAGATAACATTGTGTAAAAATGTGTCCGAAAATATTAATATTCATTTATCTCGCATAACATGGTCTGTGCGTACAAACGCCAACGCTGAAGGGAAATCGAGGACTGAACACCAAACGCCAACCGTGGAGGTGATGCGTCACATGCGTGGTCGATGGCTGGACAGGATACAGTCTACACGCAGCTTCAGCGCGCGACACAGATATGATGGTTTCGGTACCAATGATATTATAAACAAATACGAGGTAGATATGACACTAGTGCTCCGAAACTGAGGTACTCAAATTACGCCGTTTGGTGTTAATTAAATTGCAACTCTGTAGACTGCTAACTCAAATTAAAATTTTAATTTTATAGTGTTAATCACTGCGCAAGATTAAACATTAATTTGTAGAGAAATGTACAAATAGTTTTTCGCCGCTGTGAGAATCGAACGCATTTCGGGTTTCGCTCCCTGACGCTTTAGCCACTAAGCTAAACGGCTGATTTTCATACCGACGAAAATCTCAACAAATGTATCTCCATTATTTAGCATTTGTAGCAATGCTTGGCACATCCATTGTTATATCCTTTCCAGTATACGATTCCCACAGCGGGGAGAAACTTACCCACTTATGCTACATCTTAATATAACTGATGTTTACCCTGTCAGTCCGTAGATTATTAGCTTCATAATCGCACAGCTCAGATTTCACAAGCGAGATAATTATGATCTTTCGGATTGTGTAGGGTTGTACAAGTGCAATAGCCACATACCTCGTCTCCTGAGGGCAAAAATTGTCAAACGGGCTATGGGGTTAGATGCAGACCGAGCCTCCATAACCGTTATTTATGTCCATAGTTGTCGATCTCCATTTATCGATATCCTTACTAATATTATAAACGCGAAAGTTTGTCTGTTATCTGTCTTTCTCACTGAATGTTAGGCCTTTAGCCTATTCTACGCAGACGTAGTCGCGGGCAGCAGATAGTATAGTATAAAAACAAAGTCGTCCCGCAGTCTAGTCTATCCCTATCTATGCTTAGATCTTTAAAACTACGCAACGGATCTTGATGCGATTTTTTTACAAGATAGAGTGATTCAAGAGGAAGGTTTATATGTGTAATACCTTGCACCCGTGCGAAGCCGGGGCGGGTCGCTAGTTTGATATATATAAAAGCTGTTCAAGGTGGCACAACCAGAAATTTTCTCACAAAGTCTCATACCCACAAATGTTCGGATTATTACCGCTTGATTAATTACCGTTCAACAATGTTTGGTATCGGTTAATATCTTCGAGGATATCATTTCACCAAGCGGTGCAAAATTGATTTTTAAAATCGAACGCCGTACGTCGCGATTCGCCTTGAGATTTCGCCCATAATTATCACACCGGTGACGCGTGCACAAATCTGCATACGCGCGTATGTTTGTTGTTTTCCGTGTTATCGGAATATCAAAGCGCTAAGATTGAGGCGGTGGGTAGGCCTTGAACGATTGCATGACCCAAATAATGGCATAACAAGTCTGTAACAATACAAGTCTCTAATACAGTGCGTCATCAACCAAGGATAAAGACTTTACCAATACGCGCACGCAATAGAATTACACAATAACTTCTTGTGTAGCTGCACTTATCTATACGTAATAAGGAGTTTCGTGAAGTAGATATTTCTGACAGCTTTTACAATATTTCAGAAGCTATAAAGCTAAAGAAAACGAGTTCCAATGACCTTATGTATGTAAATGGTTGTTGTTGCACTTGCCCCTTTGATGGTATTTGTTTCATTTCTGTCTTCATCGTATTATTTTCTGTCTCCTGGTTAGTGTCAGTACAGTACGATGAATCGTGTAATTTTGGGCACGCCTTATTTATTACATGTTTTTATTACATGTAATATTTTACGGAACAAGAAGACTGGTATCCTGACCGCTTGAGTGATCACCGCTTATGTACACTGGCAACACCACGAGTAATGCGTTGAGGCTTTGAGACCTCGCTTTACCTGCACATAAGCACAGCAGCAGAATGTACGCCCACCATGTAGACTAGTAACATATAATGTACGTTGAACATTCTATACACGTACAAATATATCACCATTTCAGTCTGTTTGAGTCCACTGCTGAACGTACGCCGCCGACTGCCACGAAGCACCATCCTTAGCTACCTTCAACCACGGAGAAAATGTGCGGAACATTTACACAGATCGTCTGTGTTTGTCTATCTAGTGCGGGTCGTCCTACACCGCAATGGTCATTACGAGGTTACGTGTAAATAATAGTGAGAAGAGTTGCAGAAACGAATACATAGAAAAAGCCATGTGCGAAAAACATTATTTGGTAGATAGAGCTCTCCTTACTCTACTGAACTGAAAATGTAAACTTCTGTCAATATAGATAAAAAAATTCAAATAATTAGTGTGGAGTTGGATGTTTATAGAGAACAACACGTATATTGGTGACGTGCCTAGGCATGACAGATACCTTTTTCATGTCATCAGGATTGGAATGTAGGGGACAAGAGGAATAGGGAAGGCATTGATTCAGGAAGCGGGCTGGTATCGTAAGCACGTCAAAACTTTCCGTCGAGCGAAATATCGAACCCCGTGGAGAGTAGTTTGCCAACCTTCAGTGACTTGAGAAGCACCTTAAGAAAAAAAAGTCAATGCGAAACGAATGTAAAAGAATAAAAACCATGAAGAGGAGGTAGGTTTTTAAAAAGAGGAAGAGTAATAACAAAGAGGAAATAATTTCACTAATTGCATATAAAGATAAGTCTGGAACCACAGTTTGAGAAACGAAACACATACGTATGCCTAAGCTAGTTCGATCTTAGGCACAGCACAGCGAAAAGAAGTCGGCAGCTCCGTTGGCAATGATCTAACTGTCTCCTGATTTTATTCTATTTTTTTGTGAAAAAAGTCCAAGTATTTGTGCAGCACACAGTTTACATGTAACGGAATGGCCATAAGCGCGGTGCAATGGAGAGTATTGCCCTCTCGTTCGCGTCGAAATCAAAATCGCACTCCGTCTCGCTTCAACAAAAACTTGGAGTACAGTTGTGAACAACGTTGTTATGCGGTTTAAGGAATATTTTGTGACTTTTTATTTATAAGCGGATCATTAGGTTTGTTGCGCAAACCTTATATTTCAGCCTAATATTAATTAAATATTTATTGCAGGGTTTCAAGAAACGCCTGTTGAAAAATAGAAATTATGTGCCGGGAACATGACAGCTCGCTTTTCATTCAATATACTCGAGCAATCTGAGTTTAAATCCCGTTCAACAATGAAATTGTTAATTGCAATTTTAAGTGCTGACTCATCAAGTTCTCAGCGGTGGAGGAAAAGGTCGTGATGTAATCTAAGTATTTTCTTGACAAGAAATTATTTTGAGGTGGATTACAAAAATCTGGCAATATGCAGTGGTGTCGCATGATGGAGTATGCAATGACACCCTTTGTATGCAGACTTTTACCCAGCAGTGAGACATATATAGGCTGTTACTTAAATTTTATTTTTCTGTACCATGACATGTACTCAAGAAGACAAGGAAAAATTTTTGTTCTCTAATAGATATCTTTATCCAGTCAGGACGACGACGGTGAGTGCTATGCAGTCAAGTACATTTTGGTATGTATGATTATATCTTCTTTTCCTGGTTATTAATGAACCAAATCCTGATGTTAATACCACCTAAATTATTGTTTAATAATTGATTAGATTGATTAATCTAATAGTAACAAAAATTGTTTTTTGCTTATGTCCTTTAGTTTTACAAAAGTTAATATATATATATCGCGACAATAAATGAACACACATATAGGGGATAACTTTTTAAAGTTGTATTAAACATTTAAATTCTTTAAACATCAATATTTACAGAGTTATTAAATTTTCCAAAACAAAGAATTTTAGAACACCCTAACCTATAAAAGCGTAACTTAAAGTTCATTTGTAAAGGTCACAAAGTATATGAATGGGTTGAATGAATTAAAAAGAGACAAAACATACTGTTAGAAGGAGAGGCTTGTAATACGACGCTGTGGCGCGAGTTGTATAGGATGTTACAAATTTTGTTTCTTTTTTACTTAATTAGTTTGTTTGAAAAATATTTTTTTTTAATTATGGATTTTGTTTAATGTTAATATTTTTTTATGATTATTGGCAAGTAGTGTTAGACGTGTATTCATTTATTGTCGCAATGGTAACGACACGCTGTATATACATTACTAGATACTTGATTTAGTTTGATCCCTTTTGTCTTTTTATAGATTTCTTAGAAACTTGTTTTTCAGGGACAAGAAAATTTTGACTTTTTAAACAATCAATAACAATGTGAAGCATTTGTTCGAAAAAATTAAACACAAGTACTGCGACTTAAAAATTTTACTTATTTTGTTTTAAATTTATATTTGATTTGTTTTTAAATCAATTGCATAATTTCAATAAGTTTAAAATTAAAATTGCCCCAACGTTTACCATTAAGTATTTCGTAGTCATGAATCAATAATAGTGTTGTAAAATAAGTTATGAAAACTTACCTCATTCATAAGTTTTTAGTCTACTCGGAAATATTGCAATAAACATTCTAACATTGGCTGGACAACCATTTCTTCTTTCCAATACTGGAAATATCTGTAAATTATAACAATATATTCATAGAGTTCAATTAATTACCAAAAAAGCACCATTGAAAACATTTCAGTTGTATTGTTTTATACATTCTATTTGTATTATGCTTTATAAAAACACAAATTGCTATAAAATAGGTGGAGTATAAATTGATGAGGTTTACAATTACTTCTCGATTATAAACTGTTTTTAATAATGAAACACTTAACATTAAATATGTCTAAGTCACTATTAATACTAAAGTAAAAAAAAAATATATGCAATTGAAATTGTACAGACGAATAGAGCTCTAATAAAATCTCATGTAAACTTTTCCCAAGACTACATACAATATAGAAACACAATGATGCAATCACATTATAAGTGACTAAGGTCAAAGCAGAAAAAGTAATAATAACATTGTAATTAAATTGCATGATTCTAAAAAGTTGTCTGTAATAAATGTCAAAATTGTTAGGTCTAGTTTTGCTCACTATTATGTAAACATATCAAAACTTATAGTTTTAACTAACATTATAAGAAAATACTTACACTCATAAAAAATTTATTATACAAACTATCCTTCACACTTAACTGCCTTTTAATGCTATGATTAATTCTACAAATTCGAGTTGATTCACAAAATAAAAAATAATATAAACTGTCAATTCTCAAGCTAATTTGTTAATTTCGTTCTTGCTACACTAATAATAAAATAATCACCAGGTCGATCACTAACACAATCTTATTAAAATCACTAAAGATCAAAAAATATTAATAAAAGAAAAACTTTTCCTTAAAAGTTTAAAATATCTAAACATCGAACTAGGTTATAATTGACATCTCAGATCTCTTGACATTGACAAACGTCAATCAAATGCTAAAAATTTTAATCTTATTAGAAAAAAAAGGGATAAGACTTTTTAAAAATAAAAACATCAACATAAATTCTTAAGAAATTAAAATTTTTTATGCAATTCATTACTTTGCAAAGTAATATAGAAACTTTCATAATAAATATCAAAAACAAGTTCAGATTTATAGTATCTTCTTTCGCAAGACTAGGTACTTTCCCCAACTCACTATTCCCTATACATCAGCGATATCCCTACAGTTGAGCACACACTATATGCCGACGACACAAACTTTCGACCGATTGCAACAAAACCAGGATTTATTGAAATTTGTAGAAAAAGAACGAAAAATTTTTTGGCACTGCGGGAATCGAAGCCACTTCCTACAGATTCGCGCCCAGATGCTTTAACCACTAAGCTAAACGGCTGATTGCAAACCCTGACGAAAATCTCAACGTCTTTTATCTTCACTGTTATTTGCATTTTAAGAAATGCTTGGCGCATCTATTGCCGTATCCATTACAGTATAAAAACAATTTCAAATATCGTTTAACAACGATTATTGGAATGAGAGATGTCGCTATTTTCATAGTGCTAATCTCTGCACGTAAGATGAAACATTCAAATTTTTAGAAAAATGGACGAAAAGTTTTTCAACGCTACGGGAATTGAATCACATAAATTACTACCGGCTTTTAAGTTTTCGGAATGGGTCGGAATGGGATAATAAAATTACAAATTATTTTTCAAAACTTTTTACAATTTTACGTAAAAAGAAACCGGGTTCCGCATATACTACAGAAACCCGATTTTTGCACGTATTTACATGTTTTGTTTTAATGAATTTTACTTAGACTCATTTTCTAGACGGTCGAGTGAGGGGGTGTCAGAAAATATATTACGTACCTCGCTACACATACGCTTAAATACACGGCAGTCTACAGTGCTAATAACTGTTTTAATTCGGTTATTTATATTTATCTAGCGTAATGCCTAGATATTTGGCCATGCTGTCCCACAGAATGGGTTGGCCGAATAATTTAAGAGCCGGTAGTAAGATCGTCTATTCTCTATCTCTCCTTTATTTGTCGAATCGTTTATATTTTAAGTCCATTGAGCTGTGGAGTGAGCTGCGTTATCGTGTCGTCGTCATGCACCACCTGAAGAAAAACTCAGTTTATATACTGATTATCTTGAACCTATTTCAAAAATGAATCTGACGTCACTGTGGCAACACGATATCATATTCATAGTAATTTTAATGGCAGCACTGTAACTTTTCCGTAAAACGCCGACGTTTCTCGTTTTTGGGCCAACTCATCGGTTTGACACTGTATATTGTTTGTTTTTAGCTAAAATATTGAAGCTATGAATTTTGACTTATTCTGTGTACGATAATTAGTAACAAAAGCAACTAAAATATGGAGGTGCATTATCTCGTATTCCTATTGAGTATTTTCTGGCGGGGATGCCATGGTATCATGTGGAGTTTGGCTCCCAACACCCAAAAATGCTTGAAAGAAGAATTACATGCTAACGTGCTGGTTGCTGGAGAATATGAAGTAGCTGATGCAAATGGTCAAAGAGTCGATTATATAGTAAGTGACCATGTCAACTTTCATTTTCTTGATTTTTGGTTATGATATTAACCGCTTAGAAGCTTCAATAACCAACCAAAGAAGTTACAACGATTTACTTTGAGTACTATATGTATCTTTCGTCAAAGGTAGACTGTTATGTACTCTCATTGATACTATTTTATTTTTTCTCTGTTTGCAAGCATATTTTTTGTAAACTATATTGTGTCATGTAAGGAAAACATTTTTTCAGGTAAGAGACTCAAAGGGGCATATTCTGTCACAGAAGGACTCTATAAACAAAGGAAAATTCACATTTGTCACAGAAACATATGACACATTTGAAGTCTGTTTCATATCCAAAGTACCACCAGGTAAGTTTCATTACACTGAACATTTTTATCAGTAGTCAACTCACAAAAAAACTAATTATATAAAAACCATTACACTAACACAAAATGATGTCCAATTAAAACAACTTTTATATATAGAACATCTATGCTAGGTCATCGGATACCAGGTGACTTTGTTGTAAATTTGCCAAATTAAATGTTTATTTATTGAGGTTTACCAGCAGTTGTTACACCCATACAATTTATAATAACAGTACAGTAATTATAACTAAGTTTACAACTTTTTTAAGGTAAACACAACATGCACACATAATGTATAAAAAAAAAGTTAAAGTAAATGTTCTTGTTACTTTTGCCACATTACTGTTAAGTAGATTAACTTAATTTTGTATAATGTAGACAATACCGAATTGAACAGTATTATAAAATATGAATAAAACTGTTTTGTATTTGATGATGTTTTATGGTAATTGATGGTTTTTATATGAGTACAACAAATACTGTTGTGAATGCTGTGACTACCTTTAATTGAGATTATGTATAACTTGTTGCCATAAAATTTGTGTTTATTTAATTTTGTGTATATGTAATTTTGTTGGTAATTCAAAATAAATAAATAGATAGTTTCCGAAAATATTTTCACTGATGTAGCATTCAAAATGATGTTGCTAGTTATTGGACTTTACTGATCATTTATATTTTTCATTTAATTTCCAGAACGCAGGGGTATCAGTCAAGAAGTCTTTTTAAATATAAAAGTTGGATTTGAGGCTAAAAATTATGAAGGTGTAAGTAAATTTAGTAGAAAGAATTTTTTAATATGTATATAACTCACTTCTTTCTTGTCTTTTGGCAGGCAAAAGAAATAGAATTTGGTTACTGCTTTTATGCTTAAAATATTTATTTTGTTCATTTTTTCCATATTTTTATAATGTGTTTAAGTATTAATTATTAACTATATTTTAAGAATAATATACAATTAAATATAAAAAATAATGAATGGTCACTTGTTAATATTGGTATTTTTATTATCGGTTGATCATCTTTGGCACTGACAACTGCAATCTGCCAGAATAATTGGGTAATAATGTGTGGAGTTTCCAGTACAATTAACAAAAATTTATGGAGTTTGCGTTTATACTGGTACTAACCATAGTTATAAAGACATCATGTTTGAAAACCTCCTGAACATCACCAGAGTTTAATAAATTCTAGCAATCCAACATTTTATGGACCTTAACCAATGATTTTTTGGGGAAAAGTTCATGTTGCTGAGTAAAATTATAGATGTTTCTGGACTGTAAGAAGATTTGTTGAGCTAATAGTTTGCCTAAATATGCAAAACAAAAAATTAGGAGTAATTGGATTACAATTACAAAAAAATAAACCCAACCAGATTGTCAATAGTGAACAGTCAATAACCGTATAATGGAACAGCTTTATATAATTACCATCCCTGTACATTGCATGCTTTCTATCCTTTTAAAGAATATTAACAGTGCATATTTTATTTAATATTGTGGATTTAACCTTTGCATACCTTTGAATAATGATTTTACATTTAGTTCATCTTTAAAAAAAATTGTACAGATTGGTGAAGCTGCCAAATTGAAGCCAATGGAGTTGGAGCTGAAAAGGCTGGAAGATCTTTCAGAAGCTATAGTTCAAGATTTTACTCTTATGCGAAAGCGGGAGGAGGAAATGAGAGACACCAATGGTTAGTGAACATCTACAATTTTGTCGTGTTCATCAAATCTTTACTTAACACACTCATTTAATTTGGATTTAAGCTCATGCTAATTGTCTTAGAGCGACAATGATTTACAAAAAAAAGACTATCTGGTCTTTGGTGATAGTTCACACCTTTATATAGTTTTTCCCTACATTATCTAACATGTAATAAAACCAGTAGTAGTGGTGAATTACTAAAGGGCCAAGTAGTTTTTGAATAAGAAAATATTTTTTATCTAATCATTTTCCTGTGTTATTGGAATAGAGTATTCAGTTTTCTAATGCCTATAAAGCTCCCTAATATTAGCTTTGTATAGCAAATATTAGGCTGCTAGTAGGATAGGGCATCGTAGGATAGGTCCAGATAGAAGATTTTTTTTTTTCAATGTGATAAGTGGGTAAGTGAGCGGGTCGTTCACCTGATGTTAAGTGATTACTGCCTCCCTTGGACATTGCAACACCTATGGGTTGCAGATGTGCTACCAACCTTTAAAAAAGTGCTTTCTGTTTAACTCACTCACTAGACGAAATGTTTAGTATTGTACTACCATTTCACGACGGTAATCTGTGCGGCCGTGGTACATCCCCTACCACAGTTTCATTGACAATGACCAAGTATGAAAGTTCACTTGTGACGGGTGTGAAATGTTCATGATAATCTGGTTTATTAAAAAAATAAAAAAGACCGTAAATAACACAATGAAAATATGTTTGTTGACGCAGTGACTATTTTTTTTACCATTTCTGATAGACTAGACATCCATACTTCACTATGATAACTATTTTATATATAGTCATATAAAATAATATAATTTTGCGTAATTTCATTGTGTAGCAGTTAAATTTTATTTGCATGACCTTCAATGCTCATGTCGTCAAGTAACCTTAAACCGGTAAAATGAAACCGGTTTTAGAAAGTAGCCAACGAAGACGGTAAACTGTTTTCCTTCGGCGACTGCTACATCATTATTGTTTATAACGAATCATATATTTCCAGAGTCGACAAACAACAGAGTGCTGTTCTTCAGCATATTCTCCATGGTGTGTCTCCTGGGGCTGGCAACGTGGCAAGTGCTGTATCTCCGTCGCTACTTCAAAGCCAAGAAACTAATAGAATAACAGCTTGTCTATAAGGCGGTAGCGGCGCGCGGATAGCGAAATGCAAGACCTGAGATTAGGTTTTTGTTAAGCAGTTTGTTGAACTCTATCAGAAATATATATTTATGTGTAGGGATATATGTCTATATGTGTATATGAGGTAAATGTTCGAACAAATGGTCAGCTTGTGAAATATTTGTTGATTACATGTACAGTGACATTACAAATTGAAGTGTAGTAAATATCCGTCATTAACAAATTTTTCTTCTTTCTGAGTTTATTTTAAACATTTACAGTTTTACAAGACATAATAGTATGTTACTGTAGGTCCTTTATATCTGATAATAAAAGCCCTTATCTATTTGATATGAATTGAGTGTTCGCAGTTTAAAATAAGGACTAGAGCTGTAATTTGCATTTCATCACAAGCGCCACGCGTCGCTATTACGCATTTAAGATCTCCTGCTGCTAAGTCGCGTATTTCAAAATGTAACTTCAACCGTTTTTATTTACTTAATACAGATTTTTTATTTAATGATTTTTGTTGTAAATGATCCTATTCATGTCTCTAAGTAAGGTATGTATAAAAACACTTTTTGGAATTAGAGTTTTATTTTTTACCACCCACCCCACATTATACATGCATTTAACCAGCAAAAGTACGTCTTTGATTACTCTGTCTCAGAGAATGCCACGTCAATCATGGGATTCATAAGTAATTATAGATCAACAACAAATTCGAATTTCGCGTTATATATTCAATTCTATAAAAAAAAAAAAAACATTGAATGATATTTTCCAAGGAGGGTTATTGTCAAGTAGAAAAAAAAAAAAAAAAAAACATCATTCATACGTCGTGCCGACCCCACATAGGTGAAATATTTATAGTTCTACTTACACAGTTAAGACGGATTTTAAGATTTCTAGATAAACGGACAAGAAGTTTTTTGCCGCAACGAGAATTCTACTCGACTCTAACCACTGGGCTAAATGGCATATCTCAATTATTACACCGACGAAAATCTCAACGTATTTATCTTGCGTTTTAATTGAATTTGAAATGTTAATATATTCCCGTTAGCCCAGTCCTATCATCAATAGAGCCACACTAAGCTTTAAAATGGTATCTAAGTTCTAAGTGATTAAATTTCATGAAGAATTATGGAAGTTATGGCGATCCGACAAAAATCAGCATTGAGAAAGCTTTATATAGAAATGATTTAGCTTACATAAGTTTGTGTCGACATAAGTCAAAAACTAGCCTGTGATGACCCAACATGGCTATTGTAGTGTATAGTAGTAAACTCAAATTATCTTTATTCAAATAGACGCTTGCGCGTTCTTATGAAACGTCGATTTTACACATTATATATTTTGTCACTTAAGCAAAATTTATAGAAGCGCAGTGCTCTTACCACTGAGCTTCTCGAGGCGTCCATTCGGTTAAGGTTTTACTCCACCTGCTATCACTAGGTATAGCAATGTCATTTGATCCGCATTATACGTTTACCTACGTCGCAGACCTTCCTACGACGGATTTCGGTATTGCCGATGCGATCTCTTAACCCAATGCCCAGCATGGAACGCTCCATTGTAAGCATAACTAAAATGTGCCTGTCAAAACAAATCTTAAACACATACTTACATAAATTCATTCAAATAGAAGACCGGCGTGAAGTGAACATGTTATACTTCCTGGTGAGTGAGGTAGCCGGGCCCACTTTATATAAGGTGGCAACGCATCTGCAACCCTACTTCAAATGTCCTTAGCCGATGGTTATCACTTAACACCGGATGAACCGCAGGGTCGCTTGCCTCCTCACATAAAAAGTAAAAACATTTTTATGGTCAGCCATCAATTTGATGATACTTTTGCGTACCAGGTACAATAGCAATACAACCGAGACAATGTCCAAAGTCGCATAAGAATATAAGAGATTTTATGAATAGAAGAAATTTTATTTAATTTGGTAAATGTGAACTTGTTGGAAGTAATCGGTCAGTATCAGGTTTAGATATAGTAAGACAACTTCCACGACACAACATCCAGACAAGATTACCACTTCCATCATTTTTCCTCGGTAAAAGTTTTTTTTCCAACATTTGTGTAGGATCACATAATATTTAATAGGATTTTAGGACATAATTAAACAATAAAAATAAATATTAAATTGATTTATTTCTTTTGTACCCTTATGGGCAAAGTAAATGCATTGTACTTGTATATTTGAACTTTTCTATTGATGCTATTATTAATTTTTCTCCAAACATTGATACTCGCTGAGGCTGATGGAACAAATTTAAGGAAAAAGAAATGAATTATTCATAATATATTCTCTATGATAAGAAACAATTTTTATTTCTTTAATAAATATTGTAATCATTTTTAAGTTATAACTTAGTTAATAACAATAGGATTTTAATGTATTAAACTAATATTTTATTTCATTTTGAATAAATTAATTTGTGACAAATTTAAAATAGATAACATATACTGAACAAGTTGACCCAGTTGGTGTTTATAAGAAGTAACACAGTCTGCATTTCTAACATAAAACTATGGCAAATGTACGAAAGTGAGTGAAATTTTGTAAAAAAAAAAAAAACATTTTCTATACAATGTGTAACTCTTCATGTTATGATTAATATTAGGACGAAAACTGATAAATAAGTTTATAGTTTGATTTCACATAATTTATTTCTTTCAATTTATTCATAAAAAATTTCGATGACGTGAAAGTAGTCATGGAATGTAAAAGACGGTTGTTATACAAGTAATGTATGACTACAACATAGATAAATTAAGATATGAAAAATCAACAAAATACTTATATAAATAAAAAAAAAATATATACAAATGGATAGTATAAAAATTGATATTACTTTTTTATATAAGTAAATAAACAACGCCTGACATAATTATCGGTCGTTTAACGATGTTTAATCTTGTATTAAATTTAAAATCTCTACACTATTTAGTACGCCAAATAGTTATAAAATATAATTTAATATGTGGAAATATTGAAATAATAAAATCTTATTATCACATATGCATTGCAAATTGAATAATGCGCGAGATAAAACAACACTGAAAACGCAAACGTCCACGATTTATCTCCGTACAAAACGGAAAATTTCACACAACACCACCTGTTTGCACACTAGCACCTGACTGAAGCGTATCTTAAATAACACACGCTTACGCTTATATACAATTGGTGTCTCTCCACACGTGCGCTGGACTGTACATTTGTGACTTCGGGCTTAAGATCAGAGGGGTGAGTAGTCGAGCTGCACGGTGAGGTGTTTGACGCCCGCCTCGCGGAATATCCTCGCCGCCTGCTCGGTCACGTAGCGGGGGTCCACCTCGCGGGCCACCTCCAGCTTGATGGCGCCGACGTGGACGTCGCTGCAGAGCGTCCAGAAGTGGGGCTCCTGGACGGCGTGGACGCCGGCGAGTCCGACCACCCTCGTGAACAGATTCGGCAGCGCGCGCTCTATCGAGGTGGGGGTCCTTTGCATCAGCACGCCCGCCGAGTCGCGCACCAGGGCAGCACGCTGGCGGCGATGAGCAGCGCGATGGCCATCGAGCAGATCGGGTCCGCCCGCATCCAGCCGAACGTGCGCATCAGGATGGCGGATATTATCACGCCGACGGAGCCGAGCGTGTCCGCCAGCACGTGGAGGAACACGCCGCGCATGATCGCCGAGCCGGCGCCCGTCGGCGCCTCGATCTCGTCGTGCGTGTGGCCGTGGCCGTGGTCGTGGTTGTGCGAGTGGCCGTGGCCGCCGTGCGAGTGGCCGTGGCCGTGCCCGTGCCCGTGGTGGAACGCGTATATGCCGACCATGTTGACCAGGAAGCCGAGGATCGACACCAGCAGGAGGCGCTCGTGCTTTACCTGGAACGTTTACAATGACGGTACGAGTTTCACTTTATGCGAACTAAACGGAACATCCGTTTTTTAGTTATTTTAGTAAAGGTCTATATGAGATCCCTCTCCGTAACCTTTTACGATTACGGATGGGAACCCGAATGTGAGTAACATTTGTCTCTGCTAATAGTTGATGAGCCGTTAATTTGCATTTACCGAATGAGGTGAAATCGACCTCGTTTTTTATAGCAATTGAAATCTATAATAAAATCAATAAAATCATGCTATAACTAAGAACCGCAACTGTAGATTTAATATAACACTGGTAAAATTATTAAAAAAATTAAAGCTATATAAAAGGCGAATACCGCCGACATCTGCTAACACCCGAGGACTTGTAAATGCGTTGACAACCTTGTAAAAAGTAGGCCCCGGCTACCTCACTCACCAGACGAAATTGGAAGTATTATACTTCCACTTCACGCCGGTCTTTTGTGAGGTTATGGTACTTTATCGAACGGACATGTCCATTTGTGCAACAGTGACGTTTGTTGCGTGGCCCTATCACGTGAACTTGTTTCCCGTACAACCCATTCAATATTTTTTTATGTTTCAGTTGATCAACTTTATAGGTTACAATCAAATTTTTGTGAGAGTTGGCGCGAAACGTGAAATGACAAAAGCTTTCAAGCTTCAAGCCGTTTTCGCCATAAGCACGTACGTATAGTGTCGATAATGCTTTGCACATCTAATTTGATCAACTTGCTGATTTTTAATGTAGCTATAACGTTTATTGGAGATTGATTCTATCGAGTTGCGTTGTGTTGACATAATATTTGATTTGAAAGTTAAGAAAGACATGGAACCATTAATTGAATTCAAAACGCGCTAGCGATGTTTCTAATAGACTTTTAATTATTGACTTCTTAATGTTCTAGAGTCTAGAAGTTTGTCATAGCGTCGGATTTCGGGGAATATGTGTGTTGATTATTAAAACTTTTCAATAAATGTTTAAATCCTGATCACATTATTTTTAATTTCTTTAATTTTTTAAGATAGGGACATTTTTTAATGATATTTGAAATATTAAAATAGTAGACCATATTTTAATATTTCAAATATATAAATATGGCTACTCAAAATCGCGCTTTGTTAACATTTTATTATTGGTTATTTATTTATAATTATAGGTTATTTATTGGTAACAATACTCGCCTATTATATAAGTTGTAAACTGTAATAAGCCTTATCAATTGAAATACAAAAATTTTAAGTAAGAGGAAGCATGCCTTATCTTCATAGCGGTGTAGCTGATAATTGAGTTGCCTCAGACTTAGAGATAACAAGTTTCTTTAATTAAATGGGTGTTTTGTAAATACCACTGCCATTAACATATAACTTACAATACAACACATTACACCTTTCATCTGTGTAATAATTACTTACTGTGTAAATTCTGTCAGAAGCCACAATAATGTTCTCACAATACATTCATTTCAACACTAAAAAAATTTGTTTATGCACTTTATTTCACCTGCCTAAATGGTGCAACAAATTATTTTTTTTATAAATCGACTATGCCACAGCAAAACAACAACAAACAGCTATTTTTATAGATTACTTGTAAAGGAAAGCTCTGTAGGCCCATGTATACTGTCTTTATGGAAATACTATACATATAAAAATATTAATTATTAATATAATTATTAATTATAAATATTAATTCTTCTTTATTGCACACCAAAATAAAACATACAAAAACCATACCTTAATAATTAGATTATAGGTACAATGGGGGGGCCTATTATGCCTATAGGTACTAAAAGTAATTTCTGCCAGGCATTCTTAGTCTGTGTTGTGAAGTTTTTTACCCTAATTACCATTTGCAGAGGCAGAATTTTTTTTTAATAATCGCTATTGATTGATATGATTAAAGTAAAACAAGTCATAATAGTAATAAGACTAGCCATTGGGTTTGAGGTTCTCAGAAACATTTAAAAATGGTATGATATTTGGTAATTAAATAGTGAGGAAATTTAACTACATAGTTTTTTGGATTGTTCTTTAGATGGGTCTTAATTTGCAAATAAGTCATAAATTGTTACATTAGTAAGTGCTCAAGATGAGGAAAAAGTCGAAAAAATAGAAAAAAGCATTTGAAAGTTGAATTAGACATTATAAATTCATGCTAATGAATTTTTTACAAACAAAAACAATTATGTATTTTCACCAAAACTTTTTGTGCCCACCAATACTTTGAATATAAGGAAATATACTCTATAGAAGTTGGTAGTCTATGTAATTTTAACTTAAGTAATAACTGAACCTAATAGAAAATTACTCAGTCTAATTCTTTTAAATTATGTAGAACAGTAAAAGTAAAGTGTTGTTTTACATATAATGTTGTCAATGGTCAGATTACAAACAACAAGAAAATGTGTGCAGTAGGTTCAAAACCATGACTTTTGGATTGGTGCTCAGAATGTATGGAACATTAGCATGGATAATATGAAATTCAACATTATTACATAATTATCTAATATAAAGACTAACTAAGTCCTCTTGAATTCAATAATCATAAAAGACATAAAATATATTTACCTCTGGGGGCTCAATGGCTCTTTCTACAGCTTCACTCATGATGAAGAAGGCAATGAACAAAAGAAAGAGGCCATTTACAAAACCAGCTAGCACCTCTGCTCTTGCATATCCATATGAATAACGTTCATTTGCTCTCCATTTAGACACCAGGGATGCTGCTAGGCCAGCAACAAGCCCCGTGCAGTCAAAGAACATATGGAATGCATCCGAAATGAGACCTAAAAAGATAAAATGAACATCTCATTATGTTCATATCTATGTTAATGTATTTAGAAAAAATACTGAAAAAACTTACCTAAGCTGTTGGTCCAAATCCCATAAAACAGCTCAACAAAAGCAAAGGACAAATTAAGTATCAAAAAAAGAAACAAATTCCTTGAATTTTTATCTGAATAGATGAGCCTAAGCCAATTCTGGAATTTTTCACGGATCCCACCTAAGGGACCCCTTGGGATCCTTGTATCTTTTTGGGTCAGTGGCAGCATCGTGTCACATTTACTATTCAAGCTTCCAACTCACGTCATTTCAGGCCCAATTGGCCAAAGACTCTATCTACAAACACCAATTTGCTGCATACGTGTACTACTCTTGCGGTTTCTAACCTCTTTCACTAAAAACTATTTGAGAAATAATAACAGAGAAGTTATAGAATAAAACGTGATTTATCTGTTAGATGCATAATCTTTATAAATTATACATCCTATAACAGACAATTACTTTAAAATCGTGTAAACTTTTCTCATGATGTGAATGACAATGTCAACCTGTCTAAGTGTCTATCTTATCTTAAAACCATGTCACAGATTAGCACTCGATTTTGCAATGCAATTAGTTATTATTTTTCTTATAAGATAAAATATAATTCATAAAGTAAAATACAACGTTGAAGTTTTTATTATACTTAATATTGCAGTGTTATAAAATTCGATTCTTAGAAAAGCTTTAATAGAAAAGTACATACTCTAAACATGATTAAATCAAAAAAACATTGTAAAAATCACAAACATCATAATTTAAAATTTGAATAATTTTCTTAACATGCCTATCATTTCTTCTAGAGACTTTAAATCTCCTAGATTTTTAAATCTTCGTTCAATTTTATGGTAAACATGGACATTTTTTAGTTATGAGGAAACATGCATTTTAATTTTATACATATTTGTAAATGATATGATTCATAGTGTCATTACTTCTCTTCGTTTTATATGTAGTCTATATTAAAAAATAATGCCAACACTAAATCTACCTCAATTGGTCTGTTGTTAAGTAGATTTTTAAGGAACCAATAACAATACCGTAATAGTTAGTTCTTTATGTAAATGAAACAGCATATGTGATGATTCATAAACTTTCAAAAGACACTCGTTTCCGGAAAAGTTTATTATTGTGTCTATGTTTCTTGTTCATATTGCTTATGGCAAGTTATCTCAGTACGCAAAAAAATATTCATAGTTATTTCTTGAATAATTATTGATATCAGAACTTATTAATATGTATCATTATAATTGATCATTAATTTATAAAAATATGCGTTAAGCATCGTAAGTCAAAATTTTTTTTCGCGCCCTTATTTCAAAATCATTCCACCGGAAATTCATCTATAGATGCGTTTGTTTCCGAAAAGTGAACGTTTCACGAGTCAACAGCAACGTCTTTCGAGAAGTTCTAGGCGCTGTTTGCGACATTTTTCTTTCTTTTATCCGTCATCCAATGTTTTGTGTGATGAAATAACACGTTGATTAGCAAGTAATTTCGATATTAGTGTTCATAGTCGTAATAAAGTAAAAGCTAGATTACGATATAAGCTAATATGGGCGACGAAAGCCACCCGAAAACTCTCTACGTCGGTAATTTAGACGCGAGTGTGACAGAAGAATTTCTATGCGCGTTGTTCGGACAAATAGGCGAAGTTAAAGGCTGTAAAATAATACGCGAGCCCGGCAACGATCCTTATGCTTTCCTTGAGTTTACAAATCACACGGCAGCAGCAACGGCCCTGGCCGCCATGAACAAGCGAGTGTTTCTTGACAAGGAAATGAAGGTTAACTGGGCTACGAGTCCTGGTAACCAACCGAAGACGGATACGAGCAACCATCACCATATATTTGTAGGTGATTTGTCTCCCGAGATCGAAACGCACATTCTTCGTGAGGCTTTCGCACCGTTCGGTGAAATTTCCAATTGTCGAATAGTACGCGACCCTCAAACGCTCAAATCTAAGGGATATGCTTTTGTATCATTTGTTAAGAAGGCTGACGCGGAAGCCGCTATCCAAGCAATGAACGGTCAGTGGTTAGGTTCTCGCTCCATACGTACAAATTGGTCGACACGTAAGCCTCCCACCAATAGACCCAATGAAGGCGCGCCCAGTAGCAAACGAGCCAAGCAGCCAACATTCGACGAGGTATATAACCAGAGCTCACCGACGAATACGACCGTGTACTGTGGGGGTTTCACAAGTAATGTCATCACTGAAGAGTTAATGCAAAGCACATTCTCACAGTTTGGTCAGATACAAGATGTTAGAGTGTTTAGGGACAAAGGCTATGCATTCATTAGGTTCACAACTAAGGAGGCAGCAGCGCATGCAATTGAAGCGACACACAATACAGAAATTAGTGGACATACAGTCAAATGTTTCTGGGGAAAAGAAAATGGTGGTGGAGAGAACCAGGTACAGCAGATAAATTAAAACCAAACCTTCTACATTAATCTTGAAAGCTAGTTACTAAAGACTTAAAATAATTTTCTATTATTTCAGAGTACAAATAACCCACCTGCAGCACCAGCAGCCATGGGAGCACAAACACAGTATCCTTATGCATACCAACAAGGAATGGGATATTGGTATGCCCAGGTAAATATATTCTTTTCACCAATTATTTTCATCATGATTATTAAATAATAATTCATTTGAACTATTAGCAGAGTAATAATGCCACGCAAACAGTCAGATATAATAGTTTAATGCTGAGTCATTTAATTGATGATTTTAATATTTTGATGTTATCTTCATATTGTTTGCATACATATATTTGTTACTTGAATAATTAAATCTTAATTGGACAATCAACATTTATTTTATTTGAGTTATAGAAATATGAATGTCGGTTCGTGTATTCGGTTAAAATTTCCATTTCAAACCAGCCATTTATTTTATATTAACTACTAACTATTATTACTTCCTTTACTGTGTTAATTGTAATTCATAGTGTCTATTATTTGAAGTTGATTAAAATTTTTATATCATGTTATATAAATATTCTTAATAGATATGAAGGGTAGGTGATAAAATTTAGTTAATAAAACAAATTTCAGTAATTGTCAAATATTTTCTTTAAATTTTATCTATAAAGTAATAATGTGCCATTTAATGTTAAATGCAAAATATGTTGGTTTGGAAAACTGTATTGAATAAATTTTATTGAAGAAAACAAGTTCTTTTGGGGAGGCCTATGTTCAGCTGTGGGCTAGAAATAAATAAAATTGTGTGTATGATGATGGACCAACAAAAAAAAACTACAGTTTACAGTTTGGAATATTTTATTTTGTCATCATTTGTGTAAATTTAATATTTTTGGGTCAAAATGTAAACAAAAACTATTCTCACTGTTATTCTTTGTTATTAATAATGCATTGAAGAGTTAAGACATGACTCACCCAGCAACATGCACAGTCACTTACATAAAGTATAAAATCCATCTCTTTAAACTTCAAATTTTGTATTAACAACAAACCAACTTGAACTTTGACCATAACTATTTATTAAGTGTGCATGTTAATTACAGCTTTTAGGAAAACAGTTTAAAAGTTTGTGTGACATGAATAAAAATAGTGTCATTTATTTGTCAAAACACAACATTAATTTGAATGACTAATCATTTATTTACATTTTCTTTCAAAAATTTTATTTGATCTATATCTATTTCTATTACAGATGTAGTTATGGTAAAAAAGTACTCTAATAGCATAGCCAATATCTTTAAAAGAATGTGCAATCTTGTGTTACTTTTCAGCATGAAACATTTGACAGATAAGATAGATGTTTTCTCCCTTAAGGGATAGGTTTTGATTTATATTGTTATTTTTTAATTTTTGTTTATGGACTAAAGCTGTAATTACTATTTACAATTTGTTTTTGATAAGCTTTGTTTTATATTAGAACTAATATAATAATATGGGATCTTCTAATTTGATTTTCACCTATTTATTGTTTTCATTTACTTGAAATAGTTTTAAGATCAATATTTCCATATTATATTATAAGTATTATATGAATAGAGCAGGTGATGTTTAGTTGATGTGTTAATGTTACAGGGTTACCCAGCATTACAAGGATATATGGCCCCCGGATACTATCAGCAGTATGCCACTGCGTATAGCAACCCGCAGGCAGCAGCAGCAGGTAAATTGTATTTGAATAGTCAAGTCCACATTGAGCAAAATTTTATCAACACTATTCAGTATTATCAACTTTGCAACATGAAGTTTGTTTCGACAGAAAGTTAATTGTCATTTCATTTAGGGCCATAAACAAATATATTGTTTTTTTAGTTACAGTACAATTTTTGTTTGACACTAGCTTTTGTATAGTGATTAGATAATAGTTCAAGGGTATGAAATCCTAAAGAAGTTAAAATAATGATTTTACATTATCACTAGTTGTGTTGTGGTAATATTTCAGTCTACACATCACTTTTTATTGTTGTTAAATAATTTTTATTCTATAATTTAAAAATCTTTACAGAAAATTTTGTCATACATTGTCTTTATTTTCTTACGAGTATTTGTCGTTGAAACTTGTGGAATCATTGGGCAACTATAATGATTGTTTTGGTTTTCTATGTATAGTCCATCGCTAGATTTAAAGTTAATTATTAATTTTTGTATCTCATCAATTTTTTTTGACAAGGTCATCATATCTTCTATAAGTCTTTGAAATTCACTCACAAAGGGAAGCTTTCCTATTTCATCTATTCCCTCTTTTTAGTGGTTTACTTAATAAAAAAAAGTGCAATTTGTTACATTGCATACTTTCAATGGCCCTGTTATCAATTGTTATCGCTTGTTATCTGGCTACTGCCTTATCTTTCTATACCCATATCGTGATACAGTTGTCATATTGTACATAACACCTTTTTACCATTAATTTATACTATTTATAAATTAGTGTGTCAATTGTTTACAATGATTGATGAAGTGATTTTTATTATTGTAAAGATAGCTAATTGGTAGATTTTTCATATGCACTAATATATAAATTAAACATACAAAAATAAATAAAGATGTAAAATAGAAATATTGATTTTAATGTCCATCTGTGATTATTTTAGGTAGTTATTTCAAGATTTCATATAATCTACTTGTGAGTCTCTTGGTGGGTGGAGGTTGCAAATAAGCAGATGGATAACCAGATTTTAAATGATTACAAGCATTCACTGAAATCCATTTCACCTTGTGATGTTAGATGTATTGCCAAACTTTTGAGAGACAACCACAATCCCCTCAATAACCGGACAAATTCAATAGCTACTTTTACTATATGTTGGTTTTCCATTAGGCAGTGGTGTTTTCTGGAGTACTGAACCAATCTGGCAAAGTAGAAGCTTTTACATGGTTCCACCACAATGAGTCTGTTGCAGTACACTGGCCATGAATAATAAGTTATTTCTGTAGTCTACATACTTTCTAATAACATGATAACAGTTTGACTGGATATTTTACAATGCAATTTAAATAGACATTTAGATTTACTCAACATGCCCTAATTCCTAGTTAAAGGAATAATTTTATATGTATAATAAAAGAGCTGATAGATAGAAATTATGTCACTCATAATCTGAATTTGCACCAATCACTACACCAATAAGTTATTTGTTTGGTATTAAATTAATGTATAAAGTTTTTTGTTTTGTGGCCAATTTATTTGACTTTATCGGACAGGGCAACAGGCTGGCAGTTTGCTTGTTTTAAGTTTGCTATAAGCAGTAAAATCGCTGTAAAATTGGTTAACGCTTATCGTAATTTCACACCAATCATTTGGTACAATCTTCCAATTAGTTTTTTTTTTTTTTTTGATGAGTATCGATTATTATATGAGCCTGTGCCGGGGAAGTATTGGGGGCCTCACAGAAGACTGGCATAATAAAACATATAGGTAGTATACCATTGCATTTAGTATGGAGTTTGAGTTAAGCGGCCATTTAATTTACATTGCTATTTTTAATGGAAATCTGGTAACAAATTCTGTGGGATTTTAGGGATTAAAGTGTGCTGCGTTTGTGTAAACACAAAGCGATTTTTTTTCTTGTTACATTCAAATGAGAAACTGCCATAGCAGGGTTTCAATATTTTGTATATATATTTATTTTGTGTGAAAGCGTTTGGGTTGTACGTCCTAACGCCCACTGCGTCCTAGAAGATGTATTGTAATCTTCCCTTCGAGATTGCACCCTTACTGTGCAGGATAACGTCATGTGTTGTTAGGATGTTAAAAATACATAAATTTCAAGTGGACAAACACCCAGATCCAAATAAAATATCTGTGGGTCACACAAACTGTTGTCTCGTGTGTTTCGTATGTTTCGTAGTTCTCGTTGTTCGTCATTACCATTAATTATGATGCTACAGAAAAAATTCTAGATACCATGAACATAACATACAACATCTAAAGATTTGAAGGGCACTGACTTCTGTAACACAGGGTAACCAAGCACATGGGTCAACAATATTGTATGCTGTCTCTTCAAATTTTATAAATGTGATTATTAACAAGCGCTTTCTTTTTTGTATTGGTTGGATAAATAAATCGCTCTTACTATTGCAGCCGGCTACCGCATGAGCATGCCGGGCGGCGCGGGCGCGGCGGGCGCCTCGTGGGGCGGGGCGCCGCAGCCGCTCATGTACGCGTCGGCCGCGATGCCCTCCGCCCAGTACCCGTCGCAGTAGCGGCCGCCGGGAGCGCGCACGCCGCCCGCCCGCCGCCCCTGACGCCGGCCGACCGCGCCCCCCGCACCCGCACCCGCCCCCGCACCCGCACCCGCCCCCCGCCGCCCCTCAAGCCGCGGTACGTTCCATTCCACGTTCCCCCGATGTACCCGCGCGCTCCCCCCCACCCCGGCCCCCTCGTCCCCTCCTCCTCCCCCCCCCCCACCCCAGCGCCGCCCGCGCCGTGCCCCTCCCCGGCCGGCGGGCGGACGTTGACCCCGTCGGCCGGGGAGCTCGCGGGCGCGGCCGCGTTGCCCGTACGACGTTGAAGTTCTCAAGTGCCTCTAAGGTGGTAATGTTTGTTATCAGGCGGCTCCGCCTGATTTTGTTATGATCGAGCGCGGCCCGCGACGGGCGGCGACTCTGGCAAAAGTGTTTTGCCGCACAGCGTACAAGATGACAGGCGATGTGTTGTTCCATGTCGCCACAGAGCAAGCCCTTTGACCGTCGGACCGTTGCAGAAGCGACGCTTATTGTTTTTCTTTTTTTTTCTTATTTCCTCCTCCAAGTAAACGTGATTGAGAATCATCCGAAGTCCCTCCCACTGGGCTCATTCCGGATGAGCCTGAGCAGGAACTCTCCCGCGTGCAAGAACCGTTGCCGTGGCGAGTTCATTGCACTCATGACCTCAAACTGCATCACATACGGGCGGGGGGCGGGGCGAGGGTTGAGGCGTGCGGGAAGGGGGCGGCGGTCGTCCAAACTCCGAAAAGCAGCACCCAACACTTCGGGCGGACAAGACTTTTCCGATGGCGGGCGGACTGTACTCAGTTGCTGTCGGCTCACCGGCCGATCCACATAGATAGGACATAACGAAATAAATTATAAATTTCTAACGAAGAGTAATAAATATATAGAGATTGGGGGAGGGAGTGTGTTCCGGGTAGAGGGGGGGGGGGGGGGGGGGGCGGTGAAGTGTCGCGAGCGGAGACGTTGCCTCGTGTACATACGTTGATATTTATTGGCGCCCCTGCGCTGGCGGAATATGGCGCAACACCAGACTCCCTCGGGACGCGCCAGGCCGTTTGGCGTATTTATAATTATTAAGTTCGGCACATGTTGTTTTGTTTGACCCGTGAATTGTTATGATTTATATTTGTATGGTAATATAACACTGGTGTGTCAATAAAGCGGAGTGGGTCTGGGACGCCGGGTGTTTGATTTGACGCCGGCGCGTTCGCACCGTGCCGCGCGCTTAACTGGGTCCAAAATTGAACGTCGGCGACACGTCCCTTCTGGACGTTTCGACGTCACCGCGCAGCGCAACGATCGGACGTCTAGAGACTATTGTAAATTCTAAAGAAACGTCATTTTGTAAAAGGAAAGAGAAAATAAATAGTTTAAGTTTAACACTGGAGCTTTCTTTGAAGTCGCCCCATTGATTACGCGGAATTAGGCTCGAGATAAGCCAATGACGACAGGAAACACCTTATTTTTTTAAACTTTCACTTTTGTCTTCTTTGGGGTTGCCCAAATGCAAAAATCAAAGTCACCTATGCGAGTGCTGTAACATTGGGAAAAATTAAATATGTCAATTATGTATGTTGTAATGTATTTTTCATTTATATTTGCATAAGAGCAATCTTTAGGTTCTAATTACATATTAATTTAAAAAATAACAATGCGTTCGAAGAACAGCAACATTCTTATTGTTCTGCCTCAATAGTAGATCTATCCATTAAAATACCTCAAATGTCAGTAAAGGATAGAAAGGAAAGGAATCTTTTACTTGCTTTATAGAGAAATTAATATTGATTTGGAAGAAAACGATATTGTAAAAGTATATAAATATAAAAATTGCTTTATTAATATGATTGTTAAGTGCTTTTTATACTCTACTGAAAATGGAATTAGCCACATGTGCTTAAAAACAAATGAAAGATGATTAACAAATTATCTATTAAAGTTGATTTTGTTGATTAAAACAGAAGTTATACACGACACTTTAATTTGATGTGCAAAGAAGTTGCCGGCAGAAAAAGCATTCTATTAGACACTAGGATATTTTTTAAGTTCCCGCAGTAAAATTTTGGCAATAATTCTATTAACACTAGGCATTTCATAGCTTGAGTCTTCTGTTATATGTGAGAAGGTGACAAGTGATCTGACGGTTTTAAGTGATAATCGATGCCCATTGTATCTGCAATTCTACGGGGTTTGAAGATGTGTTGCCACCGTTTTAATGAGGTGGGCCCTTGTTACCTCTTACGACGAAACGCAGAAGTAAAAATCATTCTTCGATCTCAATATACGTTGGGAAAATACTTTAAGTTGAATTTTTAAACAGATGTTACTACAATCACAGCATTAAATGTTTGGTAACTTGATACCTACAAAACTAATGATAATAATTTTTCAGTTAAAAAACTGTCTATTAAGACTTGGCGATGTATCAATTTTATTTATTATTACTAAAGCTCACAAGTTTCACTATTGTTTAGCTTGTTAGAGCATCATCGCTAATGATGCACTAAATTTCTGAATGAAAAATTATAACTTAAATTATAACTAGTTACACTTGTCACTTGTCAGTATGGAAACTAATTGCTTCTTAGTTCTTTTTTTATCGGTGTTAAGAAATATCAACTTTTACCGAATTATTGCTCTGGGTAACATGGATATTAAGGGATAATGTTTATACTTCTGCCGATTCATGGACGTCTACCTCCAATGTCATACATTAGCTGTGAAGTCGACAGTCACTTCGGGTGCAGATCAACTGGAAGAAAATGCAAATGAAGAGCGAGATCAAGCTAACACCAAGGAATCCTGTTGTCTCAAAAGACTAGTAACAACTTTTAATTTTAGATAGTTCTTGTTTCCGAGTATATATATATATCTTATCCTTTAAACGAGCAATTCTTGTATATATATATCGGAATCTCGGAAACGGCTCCAGCGATTTTCATGAAATTTAGTATGTGCATAGATTCGGGGGCGAAAAATCGATCTAGCTAGGTTTCATTTTTAGAAAATGCACTTTTATCCCTGTTTTAGGGAATAAAAAAAATATAATTCGAAAATGACGGTAAATTTCGCCGCAAGAGAAAATGTCATAATAGCTCGGTCGGTAATCGGGCGGCCCTAAAACAGACGATCGTGGTTCGCGTCACGATCATTTACACATTTATTTTTTTACTTTTTTTTCGATTCTTCTTTGCTTCATTGCTTTCTTTATTTTTAATTTTTTGTCGATTTGTTATTTTGTTATTTTTTTCCCTCTTTTTTTAAAGTTCTTTCTTTTGTGAAAAACATCAGTTCATATTTTCTTATTATTACGTCGGTAAGATCGAAAAATACTATGCATATTTCATTACTCAGTAATTTGTATCTAAATGTAATTTCCAAAATACACGATTTACCAAAAAAAAACACAAACCGAGCAAAGCTCGGTCCTCCGGGTACTATATATATATAACTAAAAGTAAACTTATTTGCTTAATATAAGCACTTAGCAGTCGAGTGTAAGAAACAGATTTTTTTTATTTCAGTGGTTTAAGTGTTAACAATAAAGTAACTTTATTTGCCCAAAGCCACAAAATTCACCAGAGCTGAAAAACTTTTGAACATTAACGCCCGGCGGTTCTGAAACACTGATCATCGTAGATGTCAAGTAATCAGTTGTCAAATGTCATTTGAGTTGCCAAAGGGATGGGTAAACTGTTTGAATTGATCATTCTGATCGTTAAGAAGATCATTCTAGTAAATTCAGAGAGTTACATTATCATTTGGCAACTAAAATTAAATTTGACAACTGATTAGTTGACATCTACGATGATCAGTGATTCAGAATCCGGGCGAAAGAAAATACTCTTTCAAGCAACTAAATCTGCCACCTGCACTTAAAATTTCAATTAACAATGAAATTGTGGTGGGCTATGCCCTAATACCCTCTGTAGGTACCTTCCCAGGAGGCTTGCTCAGCTGTGGGACATAATTAGGCTGTTACTTTACTATTACTAATTTCGCTTAACTTAATACAATTAAGTCCAATGCTTGTAAATTAAGCATAGATAACAAAGTTTAAAATAAACTACGTATTTGAAAAAATAAAGATTTAGGGTTAAGGGCCATAGATGAAAATCTGATATATATACATACTATAATTGTGTACTAGTAGAACCGATAACCGATTGGAAAGAAAGGTTCGTGAGTGGCAGCCTGGTACTGGCCATCGCAGTGTAGGACGACTCGCCTCTAGATCTCTATCTACGTCACTCCTGACGTCCTGTGCAAATGTGCGGTAAGTCGATGGATGTAGGTGGCTCAGGATCGTACTTCGTTGCAGTTTGTGGGGGAGCAGTGGACTCAGGTTGAAATGATAATAGCTGTCTTTTGCGGCTACGCTCGCATGCTCAAAGGGAACTTGGGGATTTTGTTGAATAGAATAGAATTTTCAAAATTATGTGAAGACGAAAGAATATACATTCCTCTGTTCTCAGAAGAAATTTATTATAAGGCGACCACTTGTTCTAGAAGGTTAAGAAAGAAGAGCCTGCGACTGACAAAACTACGTCTTAATTCTGCTAATAAAAAAAGGCTTCTGCAATTTATTTGCAAAAAAACTTTCTTGTTTACCAAAAAACAGAAAATAATTTGCATGAAAGAGTAACAAACATCCATCCATACATACAATCTTTCGCCTTTATAATATTATAGGTAAGGATTAGTAAGGATAATTATTATACCGATTATAAAAAAAATGTAAAATAACATTAAAGCTACTTTACCTGAAAAATAACCCCTTGTAAAACTGTTTTGAACCCTTTTGTAAAACTGTTTTTGCTACCCTTTTTGCGGTTTACAGCAATTGAGCTTTCTTACGACGGTATTGTCATTGTCTGTTAACTAACACATGTCATCTAGGGTTACTGTAGGAGCATCGATAGGACCCGGCAAATAATTTCCAAAATGCATTCGTAAGCGTGATTTTTAGGAATGGGTAACGCCCGTAACGGTGGCGGGCGGCAGGGAATATTGATTGAACGTGCAAGCCAAACCGTTTGGTTGTCCTACGCAGCTTTTTTCAAGATATTTGTCGGGGCCTAGTCTGTATGTACTGTAAATATAATAAAATTTCAATTGCTGTATACATAAGAATACATGTCGACCATCACACATCCTCGATTATTTATAATATCTGTCAAACTTGCCGACACCGACATGATGAAGTTGGTTGCAAAGCGACCAATTGACGGTATTACCATGGAAACCAATAACAACTTTTTGACATTTAACTATAATTACAAGAATTATTCTTTTAAAAGTTTATGTCCTAGGCTCAACGCCGCGGTTGGTGACAAGAGAGCTGGTTCTTTTCTCGCTCAAAGGTTAAGCATAACTATTCAGCGAGGAAATGCAGCTAGCGTTCTTGGCACCATGCCGCGTGGATTAGGTTTATTAGATAGTATGTAATTTTAGATAGATTTAATCTTGTAAATATTTGATACACAAATTATTAAAAAATTACAAGATCAAACCGTACTCAATTGCATTTAACGTCTTTTTCACAAACAAAGAGTAGGTACTGGCACAGGGGAAAAGTTTTTAGTTATTTTTCTTTTTCACGTTAACTTCTTACATGCATACGTAAGTACTCATATTTTTTTTAGTGCTAGACTGCATTTGAGAAGAAACTTAAAATGTAGATTATTTGACGCAAAACTTTTAACCACTGACCATTACCTTACCTGGAAAGCGCAGGTTCGAATCCTGGCAGCGACGAAAAAAAAATAAAAAAAAATTTCCTAATTTATCTACACATTTTTGGTATTGTAGATTTCAGATAAATATTGTTCTACCTTTTTAACAGACCCTTGTACTGTATTAAAAGACAGAGCAAGAATATCATCCAACTACGACAAAAAAATTAATAATTTGGCCAATAATTTAACTTTTCATCGAGCTTTTGCGTAAAGCCATGGGAAACTTGAAGAAGCTTTACAGTAGTGACTGGTTAAGTAAGACTATATCGAGTCCTAGAAGGGAAAATCAACAAATGCAGCCCAGTAGGGGAAAAAGGGGTAATGGGGGTCACTTAAGCGAAAACTTAAATAATTAAAAAGTTTGAAACAGAATCCTTATTGCAACCGCCTCATAACAAAGTCTACTTAGTTGGCTATCGTTTGAGATCAATGGTCATCACATTAATAATTAACTTTGGCAAGTAAAAGAGTTAAAGTAAAAAAACAGTTTTGACTCCAATTGCACTGAGGAGGTAATTGTGGTCACCTTGTGGGCAATGAGGATTAAACAAAATCTAACACTAATCGCAAACATATCCCAGCTCGCAGACCAGGGCCTAGGTAATCAACTCGCGCTAGAAGTTGGTGGTGGTGATGGTGGCTTCAGTGAACCAACATGCATTGATGTGCCAATTATTGAAGATTCTCCTTGACCTGATGCTGGGTCATCAATAGCATCTGACTCATCATAGTTTTGAATGGCAGTAGTCTCCGATTGGAGCAATTCGGCTGGCAGAAAATCAAATTCAGAAAACACGTCGGGGTTTATTGGGTAAATACCAGTAGCCCTAAATATCGATTCCCCTTTACTAATAGGTGAAACGTTATTAAATGTCTTCCGCAATAAGGATGCTACTTCGTAAGGCGTGATCTTCTCTGCAAGGTAAATGACAACAACCAGTCACGTCCAGCCATTTTCGAAAACTGATTAAAATTGTGTTTTAAGCAGTCTTCAGCATATTCAATTGCCACTTTTCTAATTTCATTAGCTGTAGGTAAATCCATAAAAAATATTGGCCATCTTCTTTATGAAGTCGGCCAAATCTCTTTCTTTTTCAAGGCCGAACACAGTCAGCCGTCCAAGACGTGGTGCCAAGTAAGGTTTTTTGATAAATCAAAAAATATAGTAACCGCCAATTACAATGCCTGTAATAGTGGCCCTAGTGGGCAATGGGGGTCACCCGATTCTCATTACCCACAAGCACTCTAAGAAGAAAAAAAATTAAAAACAAAATATATTTTTGCAGCACACGTGTTATATGTTTGAAATCGTTACACTGAATGTCCGAATAATCAATAAAGTTACAAACAAGTAGATCAATAAATGTGATACTTACCGTTTATTTTACGAGAGAGGAAATTTATATCGGCAAGCCGCAAAAACAAAAGGGGAGGCCATTTACGCATCTCTAGTGATTGAAGTTTTGTATATATGTGGCTGACCACTATTACCCACTGACTCCCATTACCTCTTTTTCCCCTACTCGCCTGAAGTTATGTTTTTTTTTATGTGAGAAGGTAGCAAGCGAGCTAGGGGTTCACCAGATGCTAAGTTATGTCCGCCGCCTATGGACATTTTCCGCTATAGGATGCGTTTCCATCTCATCAGATGAAACGCAGAAGTATAACACTTCTACCTCGCGCAGGTCTCCTATGAGGTCATGATCTCAATAGACCGAGGAAGTATCACGATACTTTCTCGGCCAATCTGCTCATTCAAGAAGCGAAGATTGTTGCGTGGCCCCACCACGGTCAACGTTTCATATGATTGGTGATTGATGTTTGATGGCATAACATGGCCTTACTTTGGATTTTTGGTTACTTCTGCCAAATTCAAGTAAGCGACAGAGTACAAAACTTCACGGTATTCTCACGGTAAATGGGGTGATCTAAAAAGTTCCAGAGCAGCATTCTGAAAAGCACTCGACCCTTATTCTCCAAACAAATAATGATGAAATGTACATATGTTTTATTATATGTTATATTTCTATTTTGTTTAATGCCAACGCAATTAACGTTCGTATTCTTGTACGTTATTCACCTCTCCGCCTACACGTTTCAGACGATGGTGGGGGAGGTTGTTAGCTCAAGGGTGACTACGTGTGATTTTTCATGAAACGTTTCCACCCAACAGCTATTTTAATCCGTGGTCACCGTCTCCGTTACATTCCAGATTCCGTCTGCATCATCCTTAACCCAATTGTGACATCATGGCGTGGCGCTTTATGAGAATCGAGTAAAGCCGAGGGCGGCGTGACGTGAAAATCGCAATGACAGTGATCTAAAAATAAGGTCGCCGGCGACGCGCCGCGGAGCGCGCTAGCCGCTCAGTCGAGGTGCGAACGCCGCGAGTTTCGGACGAACGATCAATCAACGACCACAGCAACCATGGTTTACGAGAGCGATTTCTACACCACCCGCCGCCCCTACAGGCCCTCCAGCTACAGCGTAACGGTGAGTACCGCCTTCTAACCTACTGATCGTGCACCTCGCTCCACTCTTCCCCGGGAGCCGGACGCCCCCCGCACCAAAACGACCCCCGCCGTTCGTTCGCCGCCCCAAACATTCCCCCAAGAGCAGCCGCGCACCCCACGCCCGTCGCGTAACCGGATCCCACGCGCACCCCAACCGCGGCGCGCCGCTTGTAAACATTGCTTCGCCTCCGCCGGTGTAGGGTTCGGTAGGACGTCGCCGCTAAGTGGGTCATATCGGGAAACGCTAGGAGAGCGCAGCCGGGGCGGGCGCGCCAAATATAGCCGCGGCTGGAGGCGGCCGGCCGCGCGACTAACGGCCACTTCTGCGCTTGCAGCGGCCGACTCTCGGCGACTGGGAGAAGGTGCCGTTCGTGCCGCGGCCCAGCCTCGTGCCGGACCCGGTGACGGCGTTCGGGCGCCGCGGCAGGAGCGGGGCGCGCCCCTCGCTCCTCGACCCGGTCGCGCGCCAGAACATCGCGCCGAAGCCCGAGTCGAAGCTGGCGCCGCTCGCGCCGTACGTGTCGCCGCGCGAGCAGACCCGCGAGCGCGTGCTGGCGGCGGTCGGCCAGAGGGAGCGCGCGTTCGAATCCGACCCGCTGGGCACCCCGCGCGACCACATGGACGTGCTCCTGGCGCACGCGCACGGCCGCCCGCTGCACGCGCCGCGCCGCCACGTTTACTACAGCAACTACGCGAGCTACTGATCGGGGCCGCGGCGTCGCGTTTCGCTTTCGCTTGTAGCCGGTCGGGGTCGGTGTAGGGGGCGCGCGGGTGCTAAGGGCGCGGTTGTTGCAGACGCCGCGGCACTACGTGGTGGTGGACCGGGAGCCGCTGCCGAGGCGCGCCGAGGAGCAGTACTCTTACTCTTACTCGAGCAGCAGCGAGCGCTCGACGGGCAGCGGGCTGCCGCAGCGCAGCTCTTACAGCAGCACGGTGGAGCGGCGCTCGGGCACCGGCCCGGGCGGCTACAGCTACAGCAGCGAGCGCACCAGCAACCTCGGCGGCCCCGGCGGCTACTCCTACTCGTCGACGAGCAGCGGCCGCCTGCCATACGGAACCACCTACCGCCACTACTCTTACCGCGTGTAGCGCCCCGGCTCCCGAGTCCCAGTGCACCCACTCCCCCCAACTCCCGCCCCTAACCTATCAGTATTCGCTAACGCAGTGTGATCGCTCTACTTTACCGTCAGAAGTGGACGTGAATCTATTAGAGCCTCTTTTTTGATGTTTCGTTTTTACTCTTAATATTTTAGGATAAATTGTTTTGATGGAATATTATTGGACTGAAATTTTAATAAAGCTTGCATCTTTCTAATATTCTCTTCTTTCTTTGTGTTGCTCCTGAAGGTGTGCAGAATCGTTAATGGACACGATATCTGTTTACTAACAAATTGTTTGAAGTTTGAAGACTTTACTGTCTTTATAACATACATATTTTTTATTTAAAGTATTCTTGTAGGGTGTAAACGAATACAAAATAACGTATTTATAAAATCGTAGACAACTATCATTTACAACATGTAAAAGAATAATGCTGTAATTAAAAAGATTTAGTTTTAATTAATATGTCAACGCTTTAGCAATTGTATGGAACTTGAGTAATTTATCTTAAAAGCCGACATTGTTAACGTGCGTTTATTAATTGTTGAAAAACTTTTAGATTTTTCAAATATACCAGAAATATGAATTATAATCTTGAAAATTGTTAATGTAATTCTTCATAATTTTTTTTTTAGCAGATACTAAATCAATCAGGAAATATCAATTTATTTTATCATAATGCATTTATTGAAATAAAGGAGAAATAGGTACCTATCTGCCTATACAGATTACCACAATAAACACTTTTTTGTTTTAGTGTTAAACTTAATATGCAATAAATAATAAAATAAATAAACAAATCAAAGATGCAATATAAACATGAAATAAATGAGAATCGTCTTTAATATTTTATGAAATTCAGAAGGATAACAAAATAAAAGTTTCTTAGCAAGAAGAAAGCAAAGTCGAAATGATATAAATGATAAATACTTACGGGTGATAAGTTTTGTCACGTTCTGTTTGTTGTTAAATAATTGACACATATTTGTTATTACAGTAACCATTAACCAAAAGGGACTTACTAAATTATAGCAAACATCTTATGCCAACTAGGCTTATTCAAAATTGCCCCCGCGAATACAAGCCTTCAAACAGCACGGCACGAACGACGTCCATACAAATATTGGCGGCTGCTTTGATCAAGGATGCCTGGAGTTAAACGTTCATCATATCGTTTGATGGAAAGATAAACGAATCTTTTGCTTAAATTCAAAGTTTTCAGTAGTTCGAAAATCTGATTTGGCGCGTCACCGCACCGAAGCAGCGCGATAACCGTAACTCGATCTTCTTAAAGCGTCCACTCCACTTTAAAAACAAATTAAATAATGAACAAAATGGAGCACATTTTTTATTTTTGTAAAACAATCGAAATTCGAATTCATTAAATATTTTTGTTGCCAGCATTCGAAAATTCAAGTTTTCATTATGTGACAGAACTTATGACCCGACTAGGTACATTAAAATTATTGATTACAATGGCATTGTAATTTATAATATTACCTGTTTCCATTGGTACGCCGATGCCGTCAGCCGCTGACATCCGTCTACTACCTATCGCCCTTAGTATCGTATTACAATGTCCCGTACGTAACGTACATACCCAAGCTGTCACAGGTGAGTTGATTACAACTGTAATACTCGTATCATGCAAGCGATCGAGGCATGTAAATACCACGCACCATTTAATGCACAGGCTTGAGAAGATGGCTTCGTACCGATAGGATTTCATTATTGCACAGAAATCAGACTGCATAATGCGATGGCTTACAGACATTTATCTTAGAAATAATACATACATTCACCATTGAAAGTAGAACCACTGTTTATGCAATTACATTTCGATTCACAGCAGTAGCTTGTAAATATAGCGAAATTTAGTGAAACATAAATTAAACAATTATCCGAAACGCTTTTTTAGTTTGGAATCGACTATAAACTAAACTAAACTTTGCATTGGTGTCGATTAGGTTAGGTTCGGTAAAGTTTTATTAAAATTAAAAGCATTTGCTCTCGCGTCACAATTGTCAGATTTAAAGCGAAAAAGTATAAAAGAAAAATACATTATTAATAATATTTTAGTATCTTAACCCGTCTTCTACTTCTATCATGTAATTTGAATGCCTTTATTTGTATTTCTTTGCAACCATAAAGAAAACGGTTTTAATTAGTTATCTTTTCATTGAACAAAATGGTATAAAATTAGTAGCCGTTTGGCTTGTAAATACTGGGAAAGAGAAGAGTTGTTTCACGAACATTGTTCCTCTTTCTATAACTGATTACTCGGAATAGAATTTTAATTGATAATTGTTGCAGCGGCTGTGTCATAATCAGTTGGTGGTGTTCCCACTTCGTCTAGGGCTGAATAGATGCTAACAGGTGGCGAGATTTTCCCAGCTACGTGTTGCAATACCAAAACTCTCCATATCACGTTTACAAGAATCCTTGAATCTTAACTTCTGACGTCCGCTATTTGCCCGAGCATGACTTAACGTGGTTGTCTTTCTGGGTTCATCCTGTACACGTGACCCAGCCAGCGGAGTGATTACGTCATTCTTGGTGTTGACACTGAACATGTAGTATAGAAAAACGTTGTACTCAATTAAAACATAAATTTCAGGCTCTGACTACGAATAGCACAGACATTTCGCATTTGCAGTTATTTTAAGCTGAATACTACTTAAATATGTTAATGAATAATGTATAAAAACTTCGGAAATTCTTATCTATCGTTACGACATTTTTCATTTTATTTTTAAATTCAGCTTACTTCACCCCGATTAGAGAAAACGCATTTTCGCAACAAATTACAAATTCCTTTGGTTTATGTCATGAAATATTTCTTATGCTATTACCTAGTTAACTTATCACCTATCCAGACTGTCTCAATAACACGGTATTTTGACTATTAATTAGAAGCATTGCTTAGTTAAATTCTGTTTTTATGTTGGATCAGAAAGTTAATACATTGAAATTTAAATGATTCAGCACTTTTCTATCAATAATGAAACATATTATAAGCACGCTATATAAAAATTAGCATAACATGTGGTACAGTATTTATGATATGAAACACCTTGTGAAACCATAAGCAAATAAATAAATAAATATTTTTTTTATATTATAGTTCGAAACGAATTTCGAAAACCGATCGAGATCCGTGAATTGATAAAAATATATATGTCCAGTCTATAAATTTATTTTTGCATTATTCTTGCCTTGAGAGCTTGTTAGACAAAGGGTACATTACCTAATTCCAAACTTTCCCAGACTTTTTTTAAAACTTTTATAAAGACATGTGATACTACTACTTTTCAATAAGCTTGCTTTTTAACACCGCAGTTTTACATTAGATTAAAAATGTTTGTATGAAAATAAATTTTAAAAGCTGAGTTCGTGTAAAAACATATTTTCAATACATATATCGTAGAATACTTCTGCATAAAATGGGATAATTACAGAAATCTTCACCCAATTTTCGCACACCTCTCTCACACTAATAAGTATATTAGGATGGAGCTAGTAATGTAAAATAATATTTGACTCTTCTCTTGGCACGAGCGTTGTTGCTCATATTCTTGATAAACACCATCTCTTAGCCAAATTACAAACAAGGATCCCGTTGAAACAAAACTATAAAGCCGTCGTCATAAGACAAATCGCTGCAAAATAATCGAATTCCAAATCACGGTAGCTCGGAAGTTTTCATGCTAGATATATGTACCTACAATTATATATATCTAGCAGGTGTTATTGTCATCTACATTACCTGTGAGAAGGTTTATACGTACTTTAAAAATATTCATCTACGTGATAAATGTATGTTATCAAATGTAAGGACATTATTTGTTCTGGAAATTAGTTTAAAAAAATAAGTCAGACGAAAAGACACACCAGCAAAGTATGTAAACAAAACACAATAATCAATAAATACAACCGAGTAATATCTAAACGTACGGATTTCCGGACAATAATAAGCGAACACGAAAACATCGTTAAAGAATGTACATGGCAAGAAATAGGAATAAACTTTGGCGTCACGCCAATATCAAAAGCTAAACTTCTGTAGCCTTCCAAACGTATTGTTCTCAGCAATAATTACCTCATAATTCTTACTAAGGTATTCAAATGTTTTGACGGTCGCGATTGCGGGCGCATAATATTATTATTATCGCATTATAGCTCCTATTCTGTGGTATTAGTTTAACTTACAAGATGATCTACCCTCATTTTACTTACACGACGTAAAATTTTCCATTACATCGGAATCTGGCAATATATAAACACTCAATACTAAAACAAGGATTGTTTAGTAATTATAATGGTTTTGAGATTAAACTACAGGGAATATACTGACGATTGCATAGCAATCACCGTGTGTATTTTTTTTGGTTTTTCCTCTTACTTTATCGAACCGTCTCTGTGTATTAAAAAGTATCCGTCAAAACGCATTCAATAGCAGCAGCATAGGATAAATTTTAAATAAAGTAATAAATTATAAATATCATTTTTAGAATTACCTTAAAATTATTGGTTGTCTAAAGAAATCATAGAGAATTTTTTTTATAAAATTAAATTGCCTACAACTTTTAGTTATACACTTTTTATAATATCAACATTTCCTTTGCAATATTCTTCACTGTATTTATACCATTTATTTGGAAAGGAAGTCGAAAAAATTTACGCTCTTTAATATTTACTATTTTTTATAATATTAGGTTATTACAGGAGCTTTGACTCAGGCTTTAGGGACAAATATTTGCGAGAGTTGATGGTTACACTGCCTTAAAGCATACGCACTTACTATAAGCTTGCGTAGCAACCACAGTACATATTTTCCTACGCATTCAGTTTAGAGATATGAGAAAACGGTTCGCTTTGGGGCAGCAAATTATCAACCGGGTTCCAAAGCGACCATCCATTCACAAGCGTCACGTCCTCATCGACGACATCGACCCAGTCGAGGAAGAAGATGGAAATATTTCGGACCCAACGGGGGACCACCGTGTGTCTAGTGTTGACACAAGAAACATTAATGTACAACATACTATTGTTTTTCCTTGCCTCACATGCAGACTTACCGCCTGTTCAAATAAAGTACTCCTAAAGCAATTCAAAAACGCACCAAAATCTACTGAAATTCAAACCTAAACTCCGTAAATGAGAAACATGGATTTTTAGTTTGAATTTACCTCCTAAAAAACTTCCATTGTAAATTTATTCTTCCTAATTTTAAGCAGAAAAGTCCTAAGTAGGCATCCGTCATCGAACGGTTAAAATAACTCATCGAGTACGCAAAGTACACCTGGATATTGGGGTAGTCCTCACCGCCCCCAGCTAATGCACATGTCCACATGCGTGACTCTGCTTAGATAGTTTCTATCAGGCTTCTTTCCATTAGCTCTGTGCCCGATGAAGATTTATATAGTCTACGGACAGGAAGCGCACACATCTATCATGACAAAGACAATACTATTAATTTATTTGGCGCGTTGCCTAGTTGATGTGTTGGGCTATTTTTTTTTAGATCTCTTAGCTTTCTCGGCCATTTCTACGTTTTCTTTGTTAAAACCTGCCTTAAAGAAGTTTTAACAAATTAAAATTTTTGAGATTCGATTTAACCATTTCTATATGCTATTCTTGTTCGTCCAGTGCTGGATTAACCACATAGCAAGAGTAGGAATTGCTACGGGCTCCATGTGAAATGGGGCCTAGCATATTTAATCCCTCATCTCTGTCTGAGCGTAATTTTTTGAGCGAAACTTATTAAGATGCATTGGTATATTAAATTTACTTGATGTCACAAAAACGTGAAACGTTAGGTACAACTTTTGCTATTAAGACAGTCAACGTCACCTAATTATTTGACGTGGATTTTCTTACCGATTATATTACTCACCGATTATAATCGGTAACCGACTATTTCCTTGGCTTAAATAAAACACCGAATTTCATACGGTAAACGCACAAGTTCTACAAAAATGTGCTCGTATAGTGTACAATTTCATTCGTTCCGATAATCAGCTATAAAAAAAGATGATTAGTATAATTTAGTAACCATAACAAAAACCTTTTTTTAGAATATAAGTATATGTGTACAGAAGTTCAGGTTAAAGACATTTATTTATCACAAAAAGAACATTACATAGTTCACTTAAAACGTGATAAACATATAGAAGTCTTAAATATATATATATGACACAAACAACAGTCTCAGACAGATAACAGTGCTTATAAATCTAAGCAGATAGTAAGTTGTTTAATAGGCGTTTTTTGAACAATGCAATGGTTTTATATCCTTTAATTTCCTCAGGCAGTTTGTTGTATAGTTGCGCTCCCACAAATCGAATATTTTTTTTTCCTACACCAGTTCTACATGTTGGTAAAGTTACCTATTACTAAAAAAAATATTTTATTAGAGACATTTCTTTAAATTGAATATTTCATAACCGTAATCCTGACATAGTAAGATCATTATCAAATGAATAAAGATATAATATAATTTTTTGAAAGAATTTGCTACGGGCCCCACGCTTGCTTATTCCGGAAATGTGTTCGCCGTCTTAGACAAACTACGTAAAGAACTCGACTAAATTTTATAGTGCGTGTATACGTTT